CAAATATGAATCCATTCATTCCATCAGTAAGCATTTATTGAGCACCTAGTGTCACACACTTAATTAGGCAGAAGAGATAAAAAGGATGAGCAAGTCCAAGGTCGCAACCCTGTGAAAGGCTGAGAGGAAAAGCAGATAATCAAGTAATGAGTATGCATTGTTGCAAATGCTGTCATGGGGAACAGAGGTTATTAAAAATAATATCTGAGGCAGCCACTGCCTCTCATTCTCACAACACCCCACAAAGGTAGGTGTCTCCCCACTTCCCAAATGAGGGTGCCTGGCTGTCCCACACCACACACTACCTCGCCACGGGCGTCACCATCTGCATCACCATTTGTGTGTCTCCCATCCACATTCTGGTCTCAATATTATACCTGCCGGCCTGCGTTAGCTTATTCAGACATCTACCAAACTTCTGCCTAGAATTATACAGCACACTGCACACCCCTCGGAGAAAAGAACGCAGAGAGAACCCTGACGGCACTTTCAAACTGGCTACACGGAGCAATACAAGAATATTAGTAACACAAAGCAAGGATGGAGCATGGACGGGTTGTCTGTGGTCATGACCAATGGAGTGCTTCAGACAGCAAGCCATTTGGTTTCTGAAAGGGAGAGACCACTGTAGAGATTTATTCAGGAGGGAGGACCCAGGTCTTAAGATCACGTCAGGTCAGTGGAAGAGGAAAGGAGGCCAGTGTTCAGAGAGGTGCCCAGAAGGCTCACAGGTTAGGCTGAACCACAGCCAAGGGTGTAACTGGAGCCCAACGGTGGGACAAGCCAGCCTGCATCTGCCCCAACTGCCAACTGATAAGAGACGCTAAGGCACCTGGGGCATTAGAATGACCCAGTGTCACAGCACACGGAGAAATCTGCCTTTATAAGAACTCCTCCCAGAAACCACTACATGTGATGGAAGCAGTTTTTCATCCCACCTTCTGGAATAGAGGGTGAGACCCAACGGGCCTCCTGGAGTCAACACAAGTCACCAAACAACATTCTAAAGACAACAGTCCCATTCACTGCAGGGACTGGTTTCCACTTGGAGGATGTGCAAGTTCAAGGCCAGAGCTTCATTATTCAGAATCAGAGTGGAGAGGCCCAGGGCTGTCAGCAATGTGTCTCCCCCATGACTCATTTTCCCAAAATGGTAAACAGACACTTAACAGAACATTGAGTTGCAAACCAAGTTATTAGCATGCCTGGAATACTCACGTGTCTCCTCCAGTCCTACAGATGATATCTGTCTTTGTTTGACTCTTTACTGCTGAGAAAATACTTTTACATGTCTTAGATTACTTGATATTCAACAACAGTCATGAAATAAGCCTCTCATTTTCTAGATGAAGATACTGACGGTCAGAGAGGATAAGTGCCCTGTTCCAGGTTATAAAGCTGGCAAGTTGTGGAGCCAACTCTGGACCCGAATATCTGTCCAGTGGTCTGTCTGCTCTATCAATCATCGTAATACCTTATAAAGTTCTTTAGAGTTGACAGCTTTTATAGTAGTCTTGGGCAGTACCCACACTAACGTACACAGACAGACACACACACACACTCTCAACCCTGTACATACACACACTCTGTTCTCTGAAAAGTAAAGTAACAAGAGTAATAATCTAATACTATATTCTACTTATTTAAATACCCATCTTCCCTCCTCTAGCTACGGACTTTGTCTCAGCGCATTTACAAGGTAAGTGAATAGCTATTTTTTACTATCGCTAAAGATATGTAAGTGAAGTCTTAAATCCTAGCCGATGCTGTTTATAACTCACTGCTTAGACCAACCTTGCTTTGATGTTAAACACCTGCCCATTTCCATTTTCTGCCACCACACTCTTGCCTCCACTCCCAATCTCTCAGCGACACACAGAACAATATCTTTCCTATGGGTCTACCTAATGTCCATCCAATGTCAGCATTTGTTTTCAAGAAGTGCCTATTTCCTGGCAGACATAAAAGTCACTGGACTTGAAAAAAACTTCAAAAAAAAATCAACCATTTACCACATTTTTAGACAAAAATAAAAGATACATCAGTCAGATGGGCATGTATACTGTATTTTTAAAAATCCCCAACTCTAGGTTTTCCAGAGCACTTCTTTCATATTCACAGGTCACATACATTAAATTACTCAATAAACAATTTGTCAATTAGACTTGCACAGTGGAGAGAAAATTATACACAGAAATGTAGACAGAGCCAAAAATCAAAGCAAAATGCTAGTGACAAATGGGCAAACCACCTTCCATCACAGAGGCAGAGGGCCTGTCATCACACCCACGAAATAAAGATTCACACCCACGAAATAAAGATCACAAACTCCCCTGCCAGCCACAGGGCGGCCTCATTCTTTTTTTCCCCTTCTCATAACACATAATTCTATCAAAAGATCTTAATGCAAATAAGGTCAACATACTTAATCTATAAAGCAATCATCTCACCTACTTTGAATCATCCATTTTTATGAAAGAATTTATAGAATCAGGCCACATTACACAAACAGAATTAAAATATGTTTCTTCACCTGCTCCCAGAGAAAAGCTCTATGTACCACCCATCTCGCTAAAAACCACAGGAATAAAGTGACTTAATTTTAGTTAAACCAAGTATTTCAACCACATACTCTTAAACACGAACCTTAAACATATCTGTGAAATATGCTTTTGGAGAGCTTCCCTTCTTACTCACTCACTCAGTCAGTAAATCTCCAATATACAGGAAGCTCGTCCTAACCACAAGCTCCCAGTGATGCTCTGAGTCCACACTAAACGTTCACAGAAATATTCTGATACAGTAATTTTTAAAAGATTGCTTTCCTTCTGAGCTATTACTTGAACCTGAAAAAAATTTTACTTAAACTCAACTTTCACAATTCTCATTAGGTAATCTAGGGTGTGGGTGTTTTTGAGTTTCCTTTTCGTGGGGAAAAAGGAAGCACTGAGCCAGGACATCAGATGTGTATGGAAAAATACATATTTTGATACACATGTAAATAAATACCTACTTTTGGGGGTTATTTAAAGATCCGTCTGTCTACTCACAATACAAATACACAGCGGTCTAACTCCTTACGTTGAATTTAAATTTAGGTGTGAAAACTGGGTTTTCGGCTAAAAGTAGACCAAAGCACAACCCACCCTGTCAAATACTGAGTCAAGGAGAAACCCATCCAGCCCTTGGATGCTCCCAAGAAATCACTCTTTGTTCGCCTAGCACGGAAAGGCTTCACATTCAGAATCCCAGCTCCCGCAGCAATGGAAGTATGCTCTGAATCCAGATAGCCAAATTAGGCTCTCCACCAGGGATTTGTCAAAAATTGAACATTGTGAATGAAACCAAAGCAACCACTGACACCAACTAGGTAATTAAATCCCAGGTTTAAGAAGTTTCAAAATCAAACTCAACATCAAAATCTGGCAAGTCCCCATGTGTGATCTACCGATATTTGTGGCATGTTACTCTGAAAATTCAGTAAGAGGGAGTGTTAAGCTTTTTAAAGCCTATCCATTAATTTGTACTCTCTGTCTAAATCACACTTAAGAACTAACTCGAGTTGCAATTATAGCTTAGCTTTTGCCTCATTGTCTCAGAAGGGCAAAAGCTGACGAATTACTGCAATTAAATCTGTTCTTGTACAGGGGTCTTGATCAATACACTTTGCATCACAATCTAACACTGAAATTGCCTCTCCACTCCTCGGCCCCTTGGATTAGGTGGTTTATTTCTGGTCCCTAGTCCTAGCTGAGTTAAAAACTCTTTTCTCTGTAATTTGCACATCTCCTGGAAGGGCGAGGGAGACGCCTGAATTCAAACTGCATTTGTTTACCGCCCACTGCCCGCGATATTATGCATTCCCACAGCCCAGAAGCGTGCGCTTCCGGCACCCTCTGTACCTGCCAAGTTCCTCGCCGGTGTCATAGTAGTCATCCACGTTTTCCTGCCTGAACACGGTCATGATAAACTGTCACGCCTCACCAAAGCCCAGCGTACTTCAGCTCCGCTTCCCAAACCATCACCACCGCTCCTGCGCCTCCGTGGGCCCCTCATGCATCAGTCTCCAGTCCTTAAAAAAACAAAACAAAACAAAACAAAACAGCAATAATAATAGTGAAATAACAACCCAAAATGGAAGTACCCTTCCACAGTTCTAAAACACGCTCGCCTAAGACCACCTCTCCGGAGCAGCTCCTCCCAGCCGGGTGGAGAGGAGCACTCTTTGTTAAACCCGGACCAGAGACGCCCCCAGCCCCGCATCGTTGGCGCACGCGTGGGGCCGGGCACAACCGCACCCCAAGGTTGGCGTCCCCGAAAGCAGGGCGCTCAGCACGGATCAGAACCCGCTCCGGAAGTGGCTGGCCTCCCCTCCTCCCCTTTCTCTGCACACACACCCACCCAGCTCCCCACCTCCAGGGGCGCCGCGGAAGAATGAAGCCCTCGCCCGGGTGGAACGCGCCTCGCTCGAAGCATCCCTCTCCTGCCTGCAGCGGCGGCGCAGCCCCCGCGCTACCTCTCGGCTTCCGCACGTCTCCGGCCGCCGCGGCCACCTTCTCTCCTCCCTCGAGCCAAGCAGTCCCCAGAGGCACATTCCTGGCGACTCCCGCTCCGTTACCCGGCCGACCCGGCGTGCGGCCGCCCGGGGGAGCAGGGGAGGGAAGGGAGCGGCCGAGGGA